ATTTATTCCCAAAATTTAGCGTCACTCATATCAACAGGAAATGAATCCATAAAAATTGTGAGCTATTTGAAGAGTAGTACTGGATAATGCAAAATAATGCATGCCTTGCACAGACCTAGAAGGAGTATTTGTTATTCAAGGACCCTCAGGATTCAGGGAACTTGAACCTTGTTAAGAGTTTAAAAAAAGCCATTTCATAATGAACTCCAAAGAAGACCACGACCATGTGCTTTTACACATTCACTCAGCTGCTAACTCAAAACCCTAAAGTGCCATGAATGGGTGAAGTGTGTCACCTCTTGCTAGATTTGCAGGTAGAAATACTTCGGCGTGTAACCGTTTGTCTCTTCCTCCGCAGTGCTGATCGACGGCGTCGAGTGGAACGATGTCAAGTTTTTCCAGCTGGCTGCTCAGTGGTCCTCACACGTCAAACATTTCCCCATTGGGATCTTTGGACACACAAAAGGCCCTTATTAGCAGCACCTAAGAGACTGAAACATGGAGGACAGCAAACCCACCCTCCCTGCCTCCCTCCCTCGTGCCAAGAGCTCTTAACCCCCTTCCTCCTACCTTCGCCTGCACACTTCCTCCTATTCTGCTGTCTTAATTTAAACTCCTGCTTTCCACACTTGCATTGTCCCCGTTATTTAATCTTTTGCGTGTTTTTTTTGGTTTTGTTTTTTAATTTTCTATTTATGTAAACACATCTCAAGGCAGAGCTGCTATGAGAATATTTCTTTACTTGGCTTTTTAAAACAAAAATCCTGCTGACGTTTTATAGACTTTTGAGGAAAAAACATTAATTGAATAACAACTAGAAATGACTTCTAACCTTTAACATAATGAATGAGTGCCCTGGTTTCACTTGGCCATCAGTTTTTTGTTGTGTTTTTTTGTTCCTTTTCAAATTCGATGAGGATGGTTTTAAACACTTGGCCAGCACAATTAATCACAGCTATATTATTAAAAAGAGCCATCTGCCTCATAATAAAGGTCATATTTTCTAATTACAGAGAAGAAATTTTGGATTTGCAGCCACAGCGACTGTTGGCAGTTCATTGTCTTAACCCAGAGGGAGAAAGGATAAACGGCCTCCGTGAAGAAGTGTAATGTGCAATAGACGAAATATTGTGTGAATGCGATTCTGCTAGAAGATTACACACTGCTCTTAGTGGTGATTTTCACTCTTTGCATTCCTTCTCTTCTTTACTTTACCCTCCTGATCAACTAGTTCAAGGTCTGAAGAGAAGTTTTTTATATTAGAATTACGAGCGCAGTTAACCACAAACTTACAGGAAAAACTCCGGGAAACGCTATCTTGTTGAGAATTGAATGAGAAGATTAATACCTCTCTTATTTTTTTTATGGTAAATTTGAAGCTATAGCTGTTTACAGTAGAGTAAATAGGTACCGTTGTTCTTTTGAAAGGTAAAAGAATAACTACTTACCAGCACTTCTGAACCTCACTTAATTAAAACCTTATATCTTGTATGTTTAACCCCTATAGAAACTGAGCCAACCTAACCGTTTCTATGTTTAGTAGAGTAAGAATGAGGCATTGTGGTTTTATGGCTGGCACATAATGCCCCCTCCCTCCAACACACACAAAATAAATAAATCAGGTTTTACACTTCAGGTTTTGTACATTCTATATAAAGCTAATCTAATGGTTAATGACTGACCTGGCTCTAAACAAACGGAACAAAATCTCCAGATGTCACCGTCTATCAAACATGCACATAGAAAATGAGACAGAGTAGCTGTTGCTCTGTTTGCAGCGCTGAGCTACGCTAATTGGCTGCTTACACATCTGGTACCAACTACAGTACTGTGCAAAGGTTTTGAGCCACCTCTCATTTCTTTATACTTTGCAGGAAAATGAGAAATATGTGCAGTGATTTATTGAAAACGAAGCACAAAACAGAATATGCATCATTCTAATGAGCTTGAAAGTCAATATTTGGTCTGACTATCTTTGTTCTTCAACACATCCTGAACTCTGTTAGGCAAGATTTCTTGTCATTTATTTAAGTCGTTTTCAGGAATAGTTCTCCACGACATTCATAGCTCTTCTCTAGATGTAGACATTGCTTTCCATTGCTTTAAAATCTGACTGTACTTTTCTGTGTTCATAATTCCATCCATTTATTTTTCCATCAACAACTGGCTGAAATGCAGCCCCAAACCATGACAGAGCCTCCACTATGTTTTACAGATGGCTGTAGACACTCACAGTTGTACCTCTTTGCTCTCTCTTCGTACATATTTGAGAGCATTTATTACTCCATATGACCTGTTGCCACAGATTTTCAGTGCAGTTCTTGTGTAATTTGACATACTTCAGCCTTTTCTCCCTGTTTCCCTTCTTTATAAATCACTTCGTGACAACCACCATTCCTACATTTCTGATGATAAGCAAACAGCAGATGGATAAACTCACTTTTTATAGATTAAGCTAAAGAAAATTCGAAAAAATGTGTGGTTATGACAGGCTGACAGTAACACAGGGCCACAAATACATTTTAAAACTTCTTGTTTTTATGTTCTGACACAACACTTGTTCATCCCTTAAATTTTGATTTTTTTCATGCTTGAATGATTCATAGTTCAGTTTTTGCTACCACAAAAAAACGTTCCTCTGAAAATAATCAAGCACAAGGACTAAACTGAACAGGAGTTACAAACCACCCAATGTCCAAAGAAAAACTTTGAAAACCCTTCAGAAATCCTGGAGAACTATTTCTCAATACCACTTTAAAAAAATACAAGAAAATCCGTCTCCTTGGAAGCAAAATATAAAGACACGAGGGGTAGTTCAAGACTGTTGCACAGTACTGTACTTGAGAAAGTTGGAGCCCAATGTCCACTGTGTTTCCTAAGAGTTATCTGAAAGAATCAGACTCTGCACAAGTGTGGCACACATCAGCTCAGCCAAAATTAGGAAATGCACCACTGATTATTGGAAAAAAATTTGACCACTTCCTGTTTTGGTTTAGTTTTTTTTTTTTACTATAATAAAATCAATAAATAATCTATTGAAGCCATGGGAGAGGTCATTATCAGGACAAAAATACATATATGCCCTTTACATTTATACCCTTCTTCACTCATTCCAGAGCCATCCAGTAGCCCGAATTAGAGCCTTCGCTGGGCTGATTCTGGCCCCCGGGCCTCATGTTTGACACCCCTACCCTAAGGGTAGATTTTGGTTGTGAATGAACCCTGAGAAAGTGAATAAACTCTATAGTAGTCATTAAGAAAACAGTGTAAAATGATTAAATCCAGTCTTGCAAAAATGTTTTCACACACGACTCCTCCTTAATGAAACCGGTATCACTCTTTTAAATGTGACTCTTAATGAAGCCATGTAAGACACAAGAATCCTACTTAAATTAAACAGAAGTCATCACAGCTCCTTGGTGTGTATGCAGCAGCCATAATCTGCAGGCAGCTCAAATACAAGTGCACAACGCTCATGATTAATCATATTTAGACATGGTGCAGACTAATGTCACCTCATCTCAAAATGTGTGGTGTAGAGCTGTGGCAGTGGTACTGATCTTCTCATTTAACTCAGCAAAGAAAGCAAAACAGCATATCTCTCGAAATGCCAAACTGTCCTTTAAGATCAGCATATAAGGTGAAACAAAAGCGGAGAGTGTATTACATTACATTCATGAATTCTTCCTCCTTGAGCCCCACACTCCTCCATACACTCCATATGTTCCACTAAAAGCAAATGTTACTTTTGCCAAAGGAAACGCTCAAGAACTGCAGCTCACTCATTACTTGTGTGGTATTATAGATGACTTCATAATGTAGAAGTGAATGTATTGACGGTACCTTAATGTAAAGCACTTTTAAATGTTTGTCCAGTATAGATTAGTATGTTACACCCTGGGAACCTGCAGGTACTATTGGCTGTCTGCCGTTATGTCTGAGCAAAGTAAAACAAGCATCCGTGTCTCCTCAGTGCTGTGAAAGCAAAGTTCATGCTCGGCTTGAAGCCTCGTCAAACTATTTTAGATTTTAGTTACATGTTCTGTGAGGTTAGCCTAGAAAGTGTATGTGGATTACGTCTGTAGATTTCGCTCCATCTTTAATTCACTTTTAAGACTGAGTAGTATTTTGCTTAAATTTCTTTCAGTAGCAGTGTCATCATAACCTTTACCAGTTTCTTGATAAGTGCCTAAATTGCTTAATTTTGACAAATCAACTGAAGTAAATATCCCTTGCTGAAATGGTGCTGATTCGAGCCCGGACAACAACAAAATATCTCAGTACAGCACATTGATTTCGCAACGCAAACACGTGCGGTGTGCATCGGTGGGAAGTAAAGTCACGCTTGACCAGCTGATTATCAGTAGTTTAAAGAACACTACGGTCCATTCATGGTGAGCATACATTTGTTGTTTCTCTGTTTAGAGAATATTTTAGATGTTTTTTTTCCATGTTGTCTCAGAAAAGGCTTGTTGAAAGTTCCCTAAAGACTACCACTGTAATCCCAACGACTGGGAGTAATAAAACTACTATACACACTAAAATGTACTTTTCGTGTGTGGGTTACTTGACTTGGTTGGTACTCCAGAACTGATAAATTTAAAATAAGAATATGTGATTACAAACTTGATATATCTCGTTAGCCCTACTTCTTAAGAGGAGCTATAAAAGGCTGCGACTGTATATAAGAATGTCCATGTGATAAAGCTTATGTGGACTTTCTGCACCATCTTGTGGTACAAACTGGTTTTAAACAAAAGTACCGTCCAGCCCTAGTTCAACTTTCCTCGATATCTTCAACACAATACGCTGATTTTTTCAGATTTAGCATTGCATTCACAATAACTAGCTAATCATAATACATTTGATTTTTAGGGGCTGTTCATGACACTCAAGGACGCCTTACAAGCCATTAAAAAACTAAATCATGGTATAGAAACCAGTCTATGGAAGATAAAAATAAAATTAGACAGAAAAGGAAAACCTTGTGTTTTAAGGCTGGCCTTGCGAGGCGATCTATGTTTTGTATGTGGTGCATAGGGGGCCACTCAGCTGAAAGCTCTTAAACCCATGGTGGTCAGGTGGGGAGATACTACAATGAGGGTAGAGGAGGTGGATCTGAGAGTACGGCCAGGGATGGTGATGTGTAGAAGATCAGAGAGATGTATAGGTGTGAGATTGTGGAGAGACTTGAAAGCAACGAGTGGAATCTTAAGATTAATGTGATATTACACAGGAAGCCAGTGAAGCTGTTGAAGGACAGGAGTAATAAGGAAGGAAGGGATTCTGGTAATGCCACGAGCAGAAGAAGTCTATGAAGAAGTTTGTATGGTAAGGTTAGATGGAGAGGACAGAATTATAATAATCAATACGAGATGCAACAGAGCATGTAGAAGAATAGCACAACTGTTAGCTATAAGGGATGAGCACAGCTAACAAATACTGCGTAGGTGGAAATAATGCAGAAAGAGCTATATTATTGATGTGTTTCAAAATCTAAGGTGGGAAAGATGACACTTTTTGACACTGTTTATTTAATAAAAACATATATCTAAAGGCATCTACCTGTCAATCAAACCTGATAATTTTTATTAAAAGACCAACTACCAAATAAACTGAGGGGCTGTTTTCAACATCTATAATAAACTCAAAACCAAGAATTCATTATACTTCTCAAAAATGTGAAGATCTACATATCTGGTGAGGACCATGTGAATGAAAGTACAAGAAAAAATTTGGTGATCTTTATTGCACCTGTCTGTTAGTAGCAATGGTGGAAAAAGTGCAAAGTGATACAAATACAAAGAACTACAGGGAGTGTGTGCATAAGAATTGGGAACAAATCCAGGAGAGACCTGGAACATCTGACCGTTTAGTCTACTGTTCACTGAAGCTTCATCGAAATGAGAATCGGTCTCGGTGGAAGGGTGGGTGTCAAGAAGTCATTCATAAGGAAAATGAATGGCTTCTAAAGCTCAGCTCCTGGGAGTCCTTCCCTAGGACTGTACTGTTCTTTACAGAGACCTGGAATCTGCTGGATCTATTTGTCCAGCTTGGGGTTTACAGCTGCAAACACTCCTATTACCACTGAGATCACTTTGGACTTCACCTTCCACATACGTCAGTTGTTCCGTTTCCTGTACTTCTCTTTATAACCCTCTATTTACTCCTCCTTTCTCCTTCGTACTGAAGTTGCTGTCTGCTGGGATTGTTACGTCTTCTGCTCCTTGTCAAGCACCACTGCGTCTGGAATATAACTACAGAAAACTACACAGTTTTGCTCTATAACAAGGTATTGCATAATAAATAGATACATAAATATACTTTGATATGTTATGCAGGAAAAACACTGGTTAACTGATCAATTTGGCAATAAGAAGAAAGTAATATACTTTATACCTATACGGGAATAGATAAACCATCATAGTGTAAGTACCAGAATAAGAAGCACTAAAAAGTGAATACAAAGATCTCAATTAATTAATTACCACTCTCTTGTGTAACATTTGCATTAATTATTAACTTGTAATAAGAATAATAAGAATAATTAGCGGTATTTGTGCGTCACATGGATAGCAAACTAAAATATTAAAATGGTACAAACTTGACAGAGGGTAGGTTAATGGTAAAATGTGAGCTAAATGTAGTGAATTAAAGGGACTGGAGTGCTGGCTGGTGGTGCCGAGTGACAGCCAGGGGGAGAAAGAGGTCCTCCTCCACCGGAGCAGGAAGCTGCTGCTGGGACTGGCGAGAAGACAGAGGAGGTGCGAAATAACGTCGACATCAGCAGGCAGCGGGGTATCCACCATAATGTAGACCCAACAGTGCGCCACATCTTCCCCACAGTGTGAGCAGATGTCCCGGGTGCAGTAGTGAAAACAAAAGCAGAGCGGGCCGTATTCGTGCACGGTGAAAATGAAGGAGCTGAAGGGCTGCGCTATGCGCTCCTCTCTGGGCTTTCTGTCCCGCAGAGAGCTGACTGGGCAGCCGCTCCTGAAGGAGGAATTCCAGAGACGCAGGCTGGCAGGCTGCACCAGCCTCTACAAGAAGGATATGCTCGGACATTTCGGCTGTGTCAACGCCATTGAGTTCTCCAACAACGGCGGGGAATGGCTGGTGTCTGGTAAGTTGTCAAACCCCCCTCTTCTTCCTCTAGCTTGCACTGTTTTAATTTGTTAGCATGCTAACGCTAGCTAGCCAGGCAGTCAGCTGTAACTGTAGCCGATGCTAAGTTAGCCTAGCTTTTCTTGCTGGCTAGTGGGAGTCAAACAGTCAGAGGGGGCAGCAGCAGCAGCTACCTCGGACCGGTCCCATCTTCTGTCAGTGCAGAAGACGACCCATGTGGCCTCTGAAGTGGACATTTTTCCCTCTCATGAGTCAAATCATGGCGACCTCATGGAAGCTGTTAGTGTCCTGAGAGGATTAAAAACAATCATCTGGCCTAGCGTGACAGCCTGTGGCTTGCCATTTTGAGTCTACAGTTTACATTGCACCGTGGGATTCCAGCATGTTAGCATGAGTCCGCCTTATGACACGCATCTGTTTATCTGCCACAATAAAAAGTAAAAGATGCATACAACACAAACTTGGCTAGAGTTAATTAGCATGTAAGGTTCTTGCATGAAATGCAAATCACTGGTGTTTTAGTCTTGCTGGTATGCAGGCGGTGATATAGACACTTGAAGGGAGTTGGGAGACAAATGTATCTCATTGCAATCCTGTGAATTTAGATAAGGAAAATATTGTAACTGGGAAACAGTAGTTCCAGGACAAGCAAGGTCCAGTCATGTTGTTAACGTCACATTCAGGTTTTCTCTGGCAAAATGTGATTAGTGTTAAGGGTAAATATGTAGTTCCTGTCTACTTAGTTTAGTACCCCAAACACTTTCTGTTGCAAGTCTCAATACATTCATACAACACTGCCATGTATGTCTAAGCACTTTGTTTGGTTTGCTAAACAACATATAGGAAATATTTTTATTTTATCTAGTATTTTTGCCTTAAATTTCTGTCACTATTCTGTTACTTGTTGCACTGATTTCACGAAGAGTTTCTTTCCTGAAAGCTCATTTATCTGCAACCCGTGAGAAAGCGTTGTTTTTTAAAAGTTTGGTCGTAATGCTCCATCTTTACTTGCAGGTGGAGATGACCGTCGGGTGCTTCTGTGGCACATGGAGAAAGCCATCCACAGCCGCTCAAAGCCTGTGAAGCTGAAGGGGGAGCACCTCTCTAACATCTTCTGTCTGGCCTTTGACAGCACCAACAAAAAAGTCTTCTCTGGTGGTAAGAAAAAGACAAGTACTGTCCCTGCTGGACGTAACTACTCTTTTTAACCTTTGAGCTGGAAGTGTTTGTGGGACATGTACAGCAAACAGAATTTAAAAAGTATTCAGACAGATAAAATGTTTAATAGGGACTTTGATGTGCAATGTGGAAAAGGCTGAGCTTGATTCACTGCACATGAACGATGTTGAGTATAAATAATAGATGGGGGGAAAAAATTAAATTAGCTGCAGGAGTTGCTGTTTTCAGTCTGGCTGCTATGCAAAAGAGTCCAGAGACTCTAAAGTTCTGTCAGGTTTTACTGAGCTATTATTTGAGAATAAAATAACTATAGTATCTAACACACCCTTTAAAAGAAAACTACAGTTGTGGTCAGAAGTTTATATCCAGTCATTATGGGCATGAACTTCATGGTAATTTTGAGTTTTTAATGGTTTCTTTGAACTGTTCTTTACCTCAGTGAAATGATTGTACAGCATACATCTTACACTTACTTAAATCTTTTAATAAGTGGTGCTGAAGGTTCTACAATCACTGATCATGATTGATTACAACTAGTAGTTTTGTCTTTGCAGCATAAAAAAGGAATTATTTCACAGGACTCACTGGACTGACCAATACTCAGAACAATGTTAAAGTCCAAGGAACTCTGTGATGATCTAAGAAGAAGAACTGCAGATTTATACATTGGTAAGGTCTCTTCCAGTCATTTCTAAACAAACGAAGATTCTAATCATCAGTTCAAAAACTGAGTTTTCCATCGTCATGGGTGGGTGTCTACTAAGAAAGAAGGCCCTACTCCAAAATGGACTTCTTCACGCTTGAGTGAACTTTCCAGCTGCCCACACGGACAAGCCAAATGCCTTCTACAGAATAATAGCTAGTTATTTTTGGATAATTAAAAATGAGGTTTTGAAACCTGTGTAAAGTACACCAGCTCTAAAGCATGATGGTGGTAGCATTATTCTCTGAGGTTGTTTTGCTCCTACTGGTAGTAAATTGCCAAAGTGGATTGAATAATGAAGGAGGGCCACCTCCAAATTCTTCAACTTCACTTCAGATCAACAGCTAGTTGGTTGAAATCTGTGCACAATTGGTTGTTCCAACAGGATAATGATCCCTAAACATGCATCAAAACTGGTTATGGTGTAAATTAAACATGCTAACATTAAACTTCTGGAATAACCATTCCAAGGTGTCTGCCAGGAATCCAACCAGTTAAAATGAACTCTACCAATTCTACCAAGGAGA